GTCATCTTAATTCTTTTATTTTGAGCTAATGTGATCATATTTTTTTATGCAATAAGAAAAGCAGACATGACTTTTGAATCGTCTGGAGTCGAACTGAATCGATTTGTGAGATCGCAGGACCGCAAATACAGTAACAGTATGACAGTTTTTATAAAATAAGTGACTCACATAATTTCAGCTTCAACTTAAAAGAGATAATGTCTTTATTAGGAAACAACTGACTGAAAACATTGTAGGAAGTTTGACAGAGATGACTGATATGTCTATGAAATCATAGATCAGAATCACAATAGAGCCCTAAATTTTTGCATTCATTGACCTGTGGAACTATTCCGTTGTTAAGTTTTATACTGATCACAGAACTAGCGCTCTCTTTCTTTCTTAGGTTCAAGAAATATTACAAAAGATTTCGGACTATTGAGTTTGAGGTTATGTGCCATACACACTCTTATATCACACAATCATTGCAAATTAAGATTCAATTCACTCATAGATTTATGGTTGAAAAAGATACATTCAACTGGGTATCGTCAGCATAATGCCGAATGTGTAAATTTTTGAATACTGATAGAAATCTGAAATAAAGAGGGAAAATAGTTATGGTCCAAGTATTCATTATTAGATCCCCACCATTTTTTAGAAATAGTTTAGAAAGCAAATATCTTTTACGGGACAAAATTCAAAAAGCTTATTTTGATGTTCAGGGCATAGGTACTGCAATATTTGTATTTGTCCAAAATGAAAGATCGGCATTAGTGTTTTTCAATAAAAAAATTAATATATCCCTGGATTCAGCATGCTTTCAAATAATTATGACCATAATTTTATAGAAATATCATCAATAAAACAAAGAAATGACAACTTCCCTCTTTCAACAGATATTCGTGAAAGTGTATTCTTGCAATAAGTTGAAATTATACGTTTTTTGGGAGATGACGATAGAGAGGTTGATGAGTTTTCAATGACAGACATGCAGAGCATCCTAATCTAATCTCTTACTGCAGTACGGTGAATTAAATTTGAAAATATTCAATTTGACTGGTACAGTATCGACGCTGCTTTAGAAAAATAATCCTGAAGAAACATTGAGGTTGAATTATTTTAGAATATTCAAGAAATTATCCTAATTTCAGTTTACGGAATGCTGGTTCAGATTTAAATGTGACTCGACATATCAGTCGGTGATTTCTCAAGGAAGACAATATTGACACTTTTAAACCAAATCTTTGTTTACACACATTGCAAGAAGGCGACAAAGAAAAACGTTTAGGATATTGTTCATGGGCCCAAGGGGACTGAACATTTATATGATGGAAATTTTCTAAAATATGTTATGTACCTACACCGTCGAAGGAACTTTCACATCACAAAATTGTCGCTATTGGGATAATTTCCATTCGGTAATGAACTGTAAAGGTCGGAATTCTCAAAAAATATACGTCTGGTGTGGGATACTGAACGAGCGAATTATCACCGGTCCTTTCTTTTAGAGAACATCGACGTACGGAGCTTTTCACAGCTTTCATTCATGGATTATGAGATGCCATTCACGAACTTCCAATGAATGCATGACTGACTTAATTTATCCAGTTAGATGGCCAATTAGTAGAGACAATTAGGCTAAGTTAAGTTAAGTTTGAACTTCCTCTTCAAGATAATCACTTGGTGATCGAAACACGTGTCGAGGTGTTAAAAATAACGATTTGGTGTTGGGAAGAAACTCCAGTAATATTCATTACTACAGCAAAGGTTCCAAACAGTGTATCACAAAAACTTGTATTTTTAACTAATGTTACTGCAGTTTCATCCTATAAGAACATTTTCAACATTTGTATAATAAGTAATATCTAAAGTTGTACCACACACAATTACATGAATGATTTCAATATTCATAAAAAAATCGGAAAAATTATAAAAACTGTTCTGTCATTTAGAGGACACCTGAACAAAATAGGACCACTATTCTGAAAGTAATACCAATAATTACATTAAGAACACCTTGCAATTGGACAATCAATGTGATATATCTACTTTTTATTTGAATAAATGAAATGAAATTTAATACAATAACAAGACAAGTACAAGTATGATACAAGTACTTGTCTTGTTATTGTATTAGTTACTTGAAAATGGTCTAATAAACAGAAACCGGTCGTAACAAATAATAAACCTAGTAGAAATCAGACAAAAGTTATTTTCTTTATTCTATGTTAAAAATGAAACTGATTACAATGACATTACGATAGATATACTGAAGGAAAATATTCAACACAGAAAAGGAAGAAAACGAAGGAGGACAAAGGGTCAGTGACCAACTAAAAAAAAAAAACGAGAAAAAAAACATTCAATGTATTACAGAAAGTAGCACAACTGAACAAATCATTAAAACTACAGAAAAAAAAACAATTGGAAAACGAATTGAACAACAGATCGTTAAGCTCAAGAACAACAGCATAATCAAGGCGTGAAAAAGTGCTTCAGGCCAAAAAAGTCTCGAAGACAACTGCAGAAAAGAAATGGACGAGGGATTAAAGCAATGAAATTAAATAAAATGTTAAATCGTTGAAAGATACAATACTGTTACAAAACTGACGATCAACGGAATAGATTCGCTAATCGTATTTTCTGAACATACTGGCCTTCTCCGATGTTAATTGTCAGAACTGCCGATTTCAAAATCGACAAGCGAAATAAACCAGTGAAACAAGTGAAATGCTTGTGAAGTATAATTAATTAAATTTGCATTTTGACAAAACTACAAGTTTTACAGTAAAATAAAAACATATAAATAGGGAAGCAGACAGATGCAAAGTTATAGTATAGAACATCAAAACTCCAAATAACTCTCCCTTAAGGACATAAAAGGGGTTATGCTCATTTTAAAACAGATTTCGATTTGAATTTATCTCTTTGATTTCAAAAAATAATATAGAATCTTTAGAACCCTTTTTCTCAGTAGTTGTGGCTAATAATTGCGACTTTTGGTTTATTGACTTAACATTTCTAGTTCGAAATTCGAGAGACAGCATTGTTGATATATTTTTTATTCGTTCAAGGTTTCAACAACGTATTGTATATATAACCTACATTATCCACATACGTCACTTATTGCATGGCCATTCAAAAAATACACTTGTGGTGACGTGATTTCACGAAAGAAGTTCAGAAAATTTCAACACATGGATCTTAGACTGAAACCATAACGGATGAATAATTCAAACATTCCATAGTAATAAGTATATTTTTCAAAACATCATCTGATAGTTTATAAACAGGAGGTGTTTCTGGTGTTTTTATGTGGCCGCTTCCAACACACTATACTCGACTGAATATTTAGGTATTGAATAATGAGCTCAAATTTGGACATGTGAATGAATTAATATATGTGATTATTATAATTGCACTCTAACGAAGTACAATTGGTAATACAAAAATTATGAAACAAAAGAAGAGTGAGAAAAAATGTAGATACATTGGATTAATGACGTTTTTGTATAAATTATGGAAAATTGACGTTTGATATTTTAGATATTCCAAGATCACTTCCAGATTGTTTTGTTGCACGATATACCAATTTTTGGAATCAAGTGTTCTTATAATTGCAACATTTTCCAGAAGAGTTGTAGAAGAACTTCTCCATAAAGGTTACCTAATATTATTGTACCGTTTGTCTCAAAGAGCGTATGCAGGGTCAAGTCACGTTTGATTTGTAGATGTGTGACTTTCAGAGTAGGTACTCAGTATTCCATCAATCTGCAGTCATGTTTATTCCTAATAGTATAAAGCAAAATAAATTAATGAATTATTGACAAAAACATCCGTTATATCTACCAAATCATATTCTGAATTCCCTGGTTTGATCAATGCAGAGCATAGATTCATCTGCCTGCTGGCCATAATTCGTAGCTCTATAAGTATTAACGTGAAGTAAAATGAGAAATAAAAACTCCTATGGTTCTTTACCACTTATATTTGTAACGAATGCAAGTGGTAAAAGTATAGGAAGTTTAGTTTCTCACGTAATAACGACTACATCCATTAATTCAATAACGTGGAGTTTTTCTGTATTAACTGGGACAATTTGAGACTTTCTATGGCCCACTTGATTTTTCTGCATCAACGACTGATTATGAATACATCTTCGGAGTCTTCGAGATACGTGTGTGAGCTGAAGTAAGTCGGTTTCAAGCTAGTTCAGAGCCGCTTATTATAACTTCTGATTCTGTCTGGAGTATGTTGAGAATTAAAAGTGGAGAAGTGTGTTCGAATGAAACAAATGAACGTAGTAGACCCTATTTAAAAAAGACTACAGCTCTGCATTCACTAATATTCTCCGAATATACTTTCATAAAATCGATCAAGAGTTTTTACACCAGTTAAACATAGGTATTTCTTTACCAGCCGTTGTTGCTCACAGACATTCAGAATTAATGTCAACATAATGAATACACGAATTAATATTCTAATATATTAACGGAGAACGTGAATGAGTAAACTCGTATTTTTCAACAATATAGTTTCATTGTTAAAATCGATCGTGCTTTGATATGAGACCACAGAGCCGGCACCCCAGTCACCCGAATTACTTGACGGTCATTATAGAACAAACCATGAACTATACTAAAATTCCACTGAATTCTCAGTAATATTGCATTAAAATAAAATAATTGTTTTCAGGTTGTGATTCTATATATTTTATAATTATTTTTTCTCATCTGTTTAGGATAATTTCCGTACACCACTGCAAAAGACAGATTACGGCAAAAAGGTCACAATCATTTCTGAGAACTTGCTGTCTACTATTTTGGAATTATAATATAGGTAAGTAACTATTCTGAATATTATGAGAATTGTATCATTTCAATGAATTCAACAGAAAAATAATATTCAAAGCTATTTGACAAACTTTGCTGATGGCATGTTTGCTTTATACAGTGGGCTAAACAAATTGACAAATGAGATTTGGGATTAACAACAATTTTTATGATCGCTAATTTTACCTTGTGGTATAGGATGTAGAGTAACCGATGTGCTGAGTCGATCTCCGCCCATGCTGACCAGGTGTGGGGTGTCTGTCTGCAATTTAAGGGCCCTACCGCCCGTGTCGCTGAGTTCCACAGCCCCCGGGTTTGTTGAGCCGATGACGGGGGGCCCGCCACTTCCGGACAAACTAACGCCGGACATACCTGAAACAACAAAATATTTTTGAAGAACGGCTTTTTTAGTGCTGTTACTTATCTGAGCACGATCTTGGAAAGCAGAACATAGAGTTGATGTAAATTTCATTAGTTCCGGTGATGACTGGACTTGTTCCTCCTCGAATAGCCTATAAATAGTCATCTCTTGGAGGAATAAGTCCAGTCATCACCCGAAGACGATCGTGGATACCAATAATCGAAACGTCGCCGTCTTGAAGTAACTTGGCTTGAAATCTTTTGATTTTCAATTATTTTTTATTGTTGAATATTTCAATTGTTGCTTGTTTTTTTATTTTATAGTAATTTCATTTCAAGTTTTTTTTAACGTAATTGTTATTTTCAGCTATTCGTTTTGATTTTATTGATTCTTTTGAGGACTTCAAATCATTCAAATCATTTTATATTATATTAGACAATGGAAGTCCGAGCTAATGAAATTCACAATGAAACAATATTAATCACCTTCAGACATATAGTTGATGTCTCCGAAAGAGTAGGTATAAAATCTATTTTTCCGTTAGGTATAAATATAAATAACAATAACAACGACAATAAAACTAAGAGGTCAATATAAACAGACCCATTATGAGGAACAACTACAATATTTTAGAAAAACTTTTCTCTATCAAAAATTAACACTCTTTTCCGACAAGAAATTCAAGAACTTTTCAACTAGAAAATTACAGACAACTATCAGTTAAATATAATTTGAATTCCAAAATGTATTTTTTACAAAACTATTAGGCAGATTTTAAGAATTTCAAAGACTGCTATAAAAAACAATTTGAATTCAAATACCCCATTGGATGGACACTTTCAAAATCTAATAATAAACAAGATACCCAGTATTGCATACTCCATATTCAATACCGAAATAGAATGAGACAAAAATGTTTACCCCCCTTAAACGGAATGCAAAACTCGAAGGTAGGTAAAGTTTCTTCTTTTTCAATTGAATTGATTTTAACAATGAGCTATTAATAAACCTTTTGTGGATCTTATAACTAAATATACATTTCAGTTCGTTTGAACTATACAATTATTATCTACAGCGTTTGTTCTTTGCAGCTCATTGTTTGAGAGACTTCGAAGTAGTATAATTTTAAGCTCGAATATTGTAGATAATTGATAACATTTTCCTGGCATTGTTTCATTACAAATGGTGCCCATTTCCATAAACAACTCTCAATTATTTATCTTTATGCATATTGAATTGTATTACCAGTTCGAGTCACGAAGGACCTTTATAATCCAAATTCCATTTCGTTCATGACAAGCAACAAATGCTGTAGTTTTACGAAATTAATTGATAAGAATAGGAGATATTACACGATTCGATTTTTCGAAAGTAAACAATATGATTCCGATTATTCAACTCAATACAATTAATATACTTGACTAATCAAAAAAATCATTTACACCCTTTATCTGATTTGATTTTAACAAAATATTATACTTCCTTTAGACAAGTAGAATATGAAAGGTAAACTTTATTTGTGAAATTATAAAACAACAATAAGTATTAATTGTCACTCCGGGGCGACTTCATTGATTCCAGTGGCGCATTTGCTTTTTCAGCTGCACGAAAACCCGGAAAAACCTGCAGCACCACATCATCTGAAGATCTTGATCTGCCAATGTCCTCTCTCACATAAAACAAAATGTAGTTATCACTACAGTTTACACCCAAAGACGATTGTGGATTCTTACAATTGAAACGTCGTGAAGTAACTTGGTTTGGAACCTTTTAATTTTATATTTTCAATTTACATTTCTTGTTAATAATTTTGTAATTATTTCAGCTCGTGTTAAAAGTTAATTTTTTTTTTGGTTGTTACTTATATGTCATTTCACTGTAATTTCAGTTTTTTGCTTAACAAAATTGTTTTTTCAGCTGATCTTTTCAATTTTTTTACAGATTCTTTCAGGAACTCCAAATCAATTTATATCATATTAGACAATGGAAGTCCGAACTGATGAAAATAGTTCTGTCGGATGTCAGACATATAACTATGAGAAAAATGAATACTTTGAACAAGAAATAGAGACTTTGACATTTTTAGGAAAAAATGTTATCGATGAATATCCATTTTTGAAGGAAACTTGGTTATTCAGCAATACCGTAGTACCAGTAGTTTTATCTATTGCTGGTTGCTCGATTGGTATTGCTCAAAAAAACAAAAAGTACAAAAAATGGACCTGTGAAGTTTTTTCAATTAGCTACAATCATATTTAAATATTTGATTCCATTGGTTCAGTTTTATTAAGACAGTGACAGTGATTGATATTGTGAGATTGATGCATAACTAGGCCCTGAGTCGCGTATGATCGCTTTTGGGAGGAAGCATTTTATCGCTGTTGAACTCTATTTTGGTGGCCTAGCTTTGAATTTCGGAATCTAAATAATCCAAAAATCAACAGAAAACAAAATGAATATAATGATGATAATAATAATAGAGAGCAGGAATTGGAGCATTTCTCTTTAGAACAGCTGCCCGAGCAGCTGATGAACTCGGTTTAGTTTCCGACACTGAACGAGGTGACCACAGCTCTGTCATCGAGGTGGAACAAAAGCCGCAGAGATACCCTCACTTCTTCGGAAACACAAGGATAAGCCAATGCATGGGGTCTTCTTCACTGACATTGGAGACTTGGCTTATCAAAACGCCTGACGTTCGCTTTTCTCAGGTCGAATGGGCTGAAGTCGGAAACTGAGGGGATCATCATAGCTTGCCAGGATGGTGTCTTCAACACCTCAATCTACCACAGTCGCGTGATAGGTATTAAGGTGCCTGACACAAGGTGCAGGGACTGTCGCGAGGCGCCTGAGAACATAATGCACTTGCTATCAGCATGACCAGCATATGCGGTCTCGGCCTATATCCATCGAGATAACGCGGCCCTAAGAGTGCTATATTAGTAGCTACGGCACTCTTACGGTATTGACAAGACGTCGGTGTTGCCCTACCCTCCGGGGGATATTGAATCCATTGTGGGGAACTGGAAGTGCCGAATTTATTGGAACTATTCGTTCCCCACCCTCAGACTCATACATACTAATAAGCCTGATGTAGTCCTTTTCGACCACCAGAGCAAAATGATATTTGTCATGGAGTTTTCAGCTCCTGGCGAGACGAATACTGTCAGAACAGAGGAGGAAAAACGGATAAAATATCGATATTTTTTCTTCGAACTCCGCAGACTCTATCCAGGTCACTCTGTCAAGATGGTTGTTCTGATTATTGGAGTCCTTGGTGGAATGATGCCCTTTCTACTCTCGAATCTCAAATTCATACCGGCTTGTTGCACTGAGGCAGAAATCTTAGTCGGACAGACACAGAAGGCTGTCATTTTTGGCTTACTGCGCTTGCTCAGGGCACATGATTCTCTGACCCAATGATCACTCACCCCACGGTGTGGGGAGTGGTCGTTGGTTGATAATGCTGGCGCGCCTTCCCGAATGTATCGGGGCTTCGGGGTATAGGGCCTGATCAGCGCATACTACAGCATAATAATAATGAACGATTTACAAACAGGGATGGCCACTAACACCCTTGGCCTTTGGTGAGTTGCGACACCACTTACCAAAGCAACTGGTAGAAGGAGAACACTATTCTCCCTCTGGTGCCGGCTTTGATTTCAGAATATACTTATTTGTTAATGTTATCTTTATGTATTTGCCATATATTTTTTGTTTCAGGAAATGATTACCATAGTCTAGGCAACAAGATCCTTTTCGGCGATTTTCCATTCACTTTCACCAAAAAATCATGGTTATGGAGTCATTCGATTCGGAATGGAAGTTTCCACACAAAAATATTGCAAAAAGTTATAAACAAACGAGTAAGAAATGAAAATCCGGTTCATTTTTTGCAAATATTTCGAGAAGTATTGCAAATATCGAATGTATGAAAATGATCCTTGAAGAGGTAGAAATTTTCTGCAGAAAAGTCCTAGAAATTCTACCGGCATTATACCATGATTTATTAATAGAAAGTAAAACTGTATCCCCTGAATCGATTAAAATACATTTCAATGCTCAAAGACGCAGAGGCATTTGTTAAATAATTAACAGTAAATATAGAAATTAAGAAATAGTTTATTTGAAAAATAATTGTAAATATAGATGTTTTGATGATCAATATTTTTTTATCATCTTTCATTTTTTTATTTAAAATTATTGTTATACACAGAGTGCAGGAAGTTTACGACCCAATATAATCCGCATTAAGATAATACTTTGTCCTAAAAATGCGTTCATTGCTAATGATAAATAATCATGTATTTGAATTGAATAGATTAAAGATACACTGGTTCAATCCAACCGAGCATAACTAAATTTCATTCGTTAGTTATACTGACCACGATCGTGAATTATTATTAATAGGACGCAGCGATCATTTGAAAACATACTGAACATAAGTAGTGAATTACATCACCACTTTTTAGTACTGTCATAATACACATCATCAATATTTGCTTATAAACACTTTCGCTCAAGTGTATATTCGTTCGTCCGATCTTGAATGTTTATACTGATATATGGTAGTGGCGGTTAGAATACATATTTGGAGTTCAAGGACAGAATTTGAAGCGGGCTTCCAGCTATAGACAAAATTGAATTTTTATAGCCTTACGAAATTTGAATCTAAACTAATATTACATTTCGAAAATATTTAACTTTTTGTATATGATCAACTAAAATAGTATTTGACCAATTTTCAAATAAATTATAAATTTACAGACATTTCAATAATGTAACACAAATCAACAAAACTTTGCCTTTGAAAGTCATTATTTGTCGTGCGCATCGAAAACAATTGATAATATATATAATAATCTACTATATATTTTTAGAGTACCCATTAGCATCCACGAAACTTAAATAACCATTGTTTTGTTCAAATCAATCAATTGAAACACGAAAACGGTGATATTCATCAAAATCCAACTAAATAGTTTCATAATCAAGGTTTAATTACAAGTAC